TTTTTTTTTTTTTTAACCTCTGGCTATAAAAGAAGTAGCTATAAAAGACATCCCTATCTCCCTTCCTGACTTTATCATTTCTTTTACTTTTATTTTTTTTAAATATAAGTATATAAACCTAGAATAGAACAGCATCTTTTTTTTGTTTAAAAACTGAGTAGCATGGGGGCACCTGGGTGGCTTAGTTGGTTGAGCGTCCAACTCTTGGTTTTGACTCAGGCTATGACCTCACAGTTTCGTGGGTTTGAACCCTGTATTGGGCTGAGCACTGACAGTGTGGATGGAGCCTGCTTGGGATTCTGTCTCTCTGCCGCTCCCTCACTCGCATTGTCTCAAATAAATAAGTAATAAATAAATATAAAAAAACCTGAATAGCCTGCACAAACTATGTAAATAGAAGTCCAGATGTTCTCGTATTCTCTGCAGTATCATGCCTTCCTCACAATGGCATATTTAACTTTATTATACCAGTGCTTCTGATAATACTGTCTGCAATTCTTATAGATGAGTGATGTGTCAGCAGGAGGAGCCACTGTTTTTCCTGAAGTAGGAGCTAGTGTTTGGCCCAAAAAGGTAAACTTGGTTCATTTGTTATTTTAATTTTGTGGGTCTTTTTTTTTTTTCCCTGAGGAAGAGATGCACCTTTGTTTCACGGTCTAATTAATGAATAACATTTTTAAAGATAGAGATAATGTAGTCCTTAAGGTCCTTAAGTATACTAGGTAAAATTTTAAATATCTTTATGGTACACTTTACAATGATTACCTAGAAATAATGAACAACCAAGGATTAGTACTCAAAAGTTTGCATTTCTAAAATGGGTTCCATATGATGGAACCTCCATCTTACTACTGTAAAATTTGTTAGCTTTGTTTTGGCAAATCCCCTTTGTCAGGCAGCTTTGTGGTATTGACATTTTCATGTGATCACCAAAATTTTGTAAATGGTTTAGTCATATTTTCAGAATTTTATTAGGGAAGACATAATGCTGCCATGGAGGAGTACTTCCACAGGAACAGAGGAAAATTTAATTACTACAAAAAGTGATAACCTATATCTTATTTGGAGATAATTTTGTATTATTCTCCACAGGGAACTGCTGTTTTCTGGTATAATCTGTTTGCCAGTGGAGAAGGAGATTACAGTACACGGCATGCGGCCTGTCCAGTGCTAGTTGGAAACAAATGGGGTAAATATTTCCTATATTCTCTTTTGACTTTTGTCTCATATTTTGAAATTAGGGTAGTCTATATCTTAAAAAGAAAACAAAACTCCTAACATTGAAAGGGATTCAACCAACCAAGTTTCTGATTTTAATATAAATTTACTTTCAATAGATCAGAATTCTGATGACAGATTTTAACAGTAGTCCCGCTTCTTGACTCAGAGTTGAAGAAGACAGTATCTTTCCCTCAAGGAGTGTACAGTTGTCTGAGACACACTAATGGATAAATCAGAATATAGTGTAGTACACACTAATACGGAGATGTATACAGAAGATGAGGACTCCTTATAGTTGGGAGGCTTCTTCAAAGCTTAATTTTAAAATTTGCTCTTGAAGAGAGAGCCGTATGTTTTCCAGGCATGTTAGGGACCAGGGCCAGGACTAGTGTGAGGCTAGAGAGGCACTCAGGGTCAGGGTCATGCTAGTTTTTAATGTGGCCAGTCATAAAGAAATAGAAGCAGGTGAATTTATTTTTATACATATTATTTAACCCCGTAAATCCTTTTCAATATGTGTCACTAGCCACCTTTCAGGTACTTAGTAGCCACATGTGTCTAGTGGCTACTGTCTCAGACATAGCAGGACTAAGGAGTGACACCTGATTGTTAGGATTTTAAAAATCTTCTTTGATGATTATGTTTGAGAATCACTGGACTAGAATGAGGCTAGTGGAGGAGAGATCAGTTTAGAAGGCTCTTTTACATTGCCTAAGTGGGTGATGATGAAAACCTGGACTATGGTAGTAGCAAAAGGATTGGAGAGTAAAGAGAAGAGATATATAAGGAAAAGTGGCAGGCTTTGATGAATGATAGATGGGATATAGGAGTTGAGAAAGATAAGAGTAATTATGGGTCCTAGTTTACTTTGTACATGTTGAAGCCATCGATTGGGTTCTATGATAAAGAAGGAGTAGAAAATTCTGTTTGAGTTACATTAAAAAGCAGTATCTTGGAATCAAGGAAATTTAATGAGCACATAATAGTAGTGATTGATTGTAGAATTGTTCCTGTATGTTGGAGGCTTTGTGTTCATCTCTAAAATGTCCCTGTATTAGTGATAGTATTTTTGCAAACAGTTAAAACAATGTTCTGTCTCTACCTACATCTTCATTCCAATTGCATTTCATTTCAAGATTTACATTAAACATCAGAAACTTTAGGAAATGCACATACATAGACTCTCATGTGCTTCCAACATTTAGTGAAGTTTTGTGGGGTTTTTTTTTGTTGTTTTTTTTTAAATAGAGTGCCTAGGTACCATCTGCTTCCATCTTATTTTGGTCTTGAACTTTTAGCTCGTGTAGAAACTTTGTTATAGGCCTAGTTCTTACAAGTGAATTAAATTTTAGATAGTGGAGAATATTAATGTATTTTTTTCTCTCACAGTATCTAATAAATGGCTCCATGAACGTGGACAAGAATTTCGAAGACCATGCACCTTATCAGAATTGGAATGACAAATAGGCTTCCCTTCCTCTCCTGCTATACTCTAATGTGTCTGACATGCACATTTCCCAGTCTTAACTTTCAAGAGTTTACAATTGACTAACACTCCATGATTGGTTTCAGTCATGAACCTCATCCCATGTTTCATCTGTGGACAATCACTAACTTTGTGGGGTTTTTTTCCTTTTAAAAGTAACACTAAATCACCATATTGTACATATAAACCTTTAAAGTTCAGTTGGTATCACAGAGGATAAAGCAAGGTAGAGTTAAAAAATAAGGAATTTTTACATTTATATCTTAAAGAACTTCTTGGTTGGATAAAAAAAAAAACACTTTATGCATCTGATTATAGTATTTCACTACATCTCAGTTGGTAGGGGGTAGGCTAGAATGGGCCGTGTGATTATAAGCCTTATAGTTTGGACCTAGGTATTACATTTACCTAGTCTTATTTTCTGGATCTGCCTAAAGACTAGGAGTAAACTAGACCTCTAATCTGGGTTCCATTTGATGTTTACCCCTCCATACGCTATTCTAAGTTGATTTTTTTCCTCTCAAATCTTTTTAAAGAAAGTATACTGTATTTTACCAATCCCATTCTTCTCTCACAGCTCCTCTGTGGTGAATCAAATCCGCTTGAGTTAAAATAATTTGATTAAAAAGGTTTTTTATTGCAAAGCCCTATATAACAACAGTGGGCCTTCTTAACTAAAATGATCATTAGTCTGTTTATTTCTCCCTTAAATGACTAATGGTTTTGTCCATAAAATTTGCTGTTTTTTGTAATGCTAATACCTTGCCTCTTATCCCTGCTATAGCAGGGTGATGATATTGGCGTTCTGATAAAATAAATATCGTGCCTTAGGAGACTGGAAATTTTAAAATGTACAAGTCCTTTTAATGATGAGGGAATTGATAAAAAAAAAAAAAAGAAGAATCTTTTTTCTACAAAAGCCAAAATGTCTGTTTTTTTTCACTTCTGAAATGTGTTGTGACAACAATGACCTATTTATGATCTTAAATCTTTTTTTAAAAATGTTTCTGTTTTCTGTGTGGTATTTTTCTTATTTGAATGTGAATGCATACTCTAGTGACAACAGGTGATTTCTGTGGATGTGTGTGTGTGTTTTTTGTTTTGTTTTTTTTAATACAGAGGACTTAGATCTATCCCTTTGGTTTTCATTCACTTTCATGTCACACTGTTATGGTAGAACACTGAACTTTCAGCCATTCAATCAATCAGAATATGTTTCCTTCAAAAGAAGCTCTACAACTTGTGGTTATAAGGTTACTATAATAATGGTACTTAAGACTTTCTCTTATCCAAAAGTGTGGTATAATATAAAGCCATGAACCCAAAGAAGTATATCAGTTGACCCTTAAAACTAACCTTTTACATTTCTTATGGTGAGTCTTAATTCATACAAGGGCTCTTTATCCTTTATGCACTATTTAAATATTTAAGGAAGAGTTTGGTTGTTTGGGTAAGAAGGTATTAAATCAACTGTGAAATTCCTTTCTCCCAAATACTTTGTTTCACCACAGCTATTTTAGTAAGAAATATTGGAAATGACCTTTAGTACTTTAATTTACTTAGATTTTTTTATACATGATTTTAAAAAATCCTGTTAGAAGCAATGTAAATGCAAAAGGATAGAAATAAAATGGGAGTTCAATGAATGGAAACTAACCTTTCTTATGTGTTTTAGCAAATAGAATAAAAGTAATATATATTTCGGAAGCAATGACATACTCTTACAAATTTCCTCATTATATTCAACCTAGACTCTCTATGGGGACCAGTAAACTCTTTTCAGCATTAGATCTTACAGAACCCTCCCACATTTCCAATGTTACCATTTTTCTTTCCAAATGGAAAGGAGGAAAAAAATCCAGTAAAAAGCTTTGAGTCCAGTGGTCATTGCAATTTTTTTTCTTATGGTGAACATTAAAATAAATGAGGGCTACATACCAACCCTGGATGCCCTGGGACACAGAAAAAAAAAGGCATGGTTTACAAAAGCAACTAAAGGGGCACTTGAGTGGCTTAGGTCCCAATCTCGCAGTTCATGAGATTGAACCCCATGTCGGACTCTGCACTGACAGCACAGAGCCTGCTTGGGATTCTCTCTCTCTGCCCTTCCCCTGCTTCCACACATGCTCTTCCTCTAAGTAATTATTTAAAAGAGCAACTAGAATATAAAGGACCCTGCCAAGGGTAGGAGAGCTGCTGGAACGGTCTCTGGATTAGAGGGACTGGCAAGTGCCATGGTTTATGTTCTCCCTCTACTTTGATAGCATGGACGGGAGTGGGGTCTGGGCACCCTAGCAGGCCTACTACCTTAGTGAGACCTAGGCCTCTAGCCCACACCAGCCCCAGATATCCTGCCAAGACAGCCCCAGGTGGAGCAAAGATTGGGCACACACAAAGAAACCCCTAGTGAGTGCTCACTATAGCTCCAGCCATCTTAGCAAGGTGACACAGGCCCAGAGAACCCCGGAATGCTCCAAATCTGCCCACTTTGGCTCCAGATGACTTGCTAGGGCACCCATGGCACAGCACTCCAGGACCCCCTGGCCCATGCCCACCTTGGTCCCAACACTTCAAGGTACCCTTATGTGGAATGCCCTGGAACCCCCAGGCCCACACCCTGCCTCAGCAACAACTGCCTCTCTAGGGTAACCCCTGCACTGAGCACCTCAGGGCACCCCAGCCTGAACCCACCTCAGTTTCAGCTGTCCTGCCAGGGTATCCTCTGCACCAAGAGCCCCAGGACCATGCCAGCCCATGCCCACTTCAGCTACAGCTCACCTGCCAGGGCACGCCCTCTGTGGAGTGCCCCCAGGACCCCCAGCCCACACCCAACCTTGGCTCTAGCTACCTCACCAGGGTGCTCTCTGCACAGAGCACAACAGATTCCCCAACTTGTGCCCCATCAATGTACCCTTTGCCCAGAGACCTCAGGCACCACCCCAGACTACGCCCATTTCAGCTCTGGCCATCCAATAAGGACAGACCTAGCACCCCCAGCTTATGCCAGCCATTGCTTCAGCCAGAAAACCAAAGTCACCAGGTACACATAGTCTACATGGGATGACCATACACAAGACCATTCCTTTGAGTTTAGGAGAAGTAGTTATTCCACCTAATTCATAGAAATATACACAGTAAGTTGAGCAAAATAGACTGAGAAATGTGTTTCAAATAAAAGAACAAGACAAAACTTCAGAGAACTAAAAGAAATGGAGATAAGCAATATGCCTGATAAACAGTTTAATGATCATAAAGATGCTCACTACACTGGAGAGAACAGAAGAGCTCTGTGTGAACTTGAACAAAGAAAAATATAAAAAGAACCAATCAGTTGAATACAATAACTGAAAAAAATACACTAAAAAGAATCAACAGATTAGCAGATGCAGAAAAATGGATCAGTGATCTCTTTTTTATTTTTTATGTCTTATTTTTGAGAGAGACAGCATAGCGTGATCAGGGAAGGGGCAGAGAGATGGAGACAGAAATCTGAGGCAGGCACCAGGCTCCGAGCTATCAGCAAAGAGCCCAACATGGGGCTCAAACTCACAAACTGTGAGATTATGACCTGAGCCAAAGTCAGACGCCCAACCGACTGAGCCACCCAGGTGCCCCTGGATCAGTGATCTTAAAGGGTAATGGAAAGCAACCAAGCTGGAGAGCAAAAGAAAGAAAAAAATGTTGAGGTTTGAGAGAGCAAAGCAGGAGAGGAACAGAGAGAGAGAAATTCCAAGCAGGCTCCACGCTGTCAGCACAGAGCCTGATGTGGGGCTTGAACTCTCAAATTGTGAGATCATGACCTGAGCCGAAATCAAGATTTGGACACTTAACTGACTGAGCCATCCAGGCACCCCAAGAGAAAACAATTTTTAAAAATGAGGATATGTTAAGGGATCTCTTGGACAACATCAAGCAAATACATTATAGGGATCCCAGCAGGAGAAAAGAGAGAATAAGGTGCAGAAAACTTCCCTAACCTGAGGAAGGAAACACATCTAGGTTCAGGAAGCAGAGTTCAGCAGAAACTTTGTAGGCTAGAAGGGAGTGCTGAAAGGAAAAAAACCTGCAACCAAGACTAGACTATCATTCAGAATTGGAGAAAAGTTTCCTAGACAAAATTTGGGGTTTATCACTACTGGGGTGCTCTGGGTAACTCTTGGTTTTGGATCAGGTCATGATCTCATGGTTCATGGGATTAAACACAGAGTCTGCTTGGGATTCTCTCCCTCTCTCTCTGCCCCTCTCCAACTTGCACTCACGCTCTCCCAAAAATAAATAAATTTGGGGGGCGTCTGAGTGGCTCAGTTGGTTAAGCATCTGACTTGGGCTCAGGTCATGATCTCACTGCTTGTGAGTTCGAGCCCCATATTGGGCTCTATGCTGACAGCTCAGAATCTGGAGCCCGCTTCGGATTCCATCTCCCTGTCTGCCTTCCCCCACTCACGCTATCTCTCTCTCTCTCTCTCTCTCTCAAAAAAAAACATTAAAAAATGTCACAAATTTTTAAAAAAAGTTTATCACTGCTAAACTGGCCTTAGAAGAAATGTAGAAGGGACTTCTTTACATGTGAAAGAAAAGGTCATAATTAGAAGAAGCTTCTGAATAAAAAGATGTAAACTATGACAACACACACAGAAAACATGGGAAGAATAAATAAGTTCTTTTAGGGGGCACATGGGTGGCCCAGTCAGTTAAGTGTCCAACTTCTAGTTTCAGCTCAGATCACGATCTCACAGTTCAGAGATCTCCACATTGGGCTCCATGCTGACAGAGTGAGGCTTGCTTGGGATTTGCTCTCTCCCTCTCTGCCCCTCCCCTCACAAGTAAATAAACAAACAAGCAATAAATAGAGTTCTTTTAGAATGTATTCAAACTTAGCCATCAACTCAATACATACACACATATGCTTATGATGTTATATATGAACCTCATGGTAACCACAAACCCCAAATCTGTGACAGATACACAAAAAATACAGAGAAAGCAAGCCAAAAATAACACTGAAGAAAGGCATCAATCACAAAGAGAAGAAAGGAACAACAAGAACTATAAAACCAACCCGGAAACAGTTCACAAAATGGCAATAAGAACATACTTATCAAAAATCACTTTAAATGTAAATGGTCTAATCAAAACATATAGAGTGGTGGAATGGATAAAAAAAAAAAACAAAAACAAAAAAACAAAAAACCCCCAAGATCTGTATGCTGCCTGCAAGAGCCACGCTTAAGACTAAAGACACAGACTAAAAGTGAAAGAATAGAAAAAGGTACTGCATGCAAATAGAAGGGGGAAAAAAGCCAGGGTAGCAATACTTTTATCAGACAAAATAGAC